AGCAACAAGCGTTGTTAGAGGTCCTGATCATGCCTAGCCAATGAGGGGAAAAATACAATGTCAATGGATCAGACAGCAGCCTGGGTGCTGGGAGGAGAGTGTATAAGGCTCTTCCCATTGCTGAATAAACAAGTCAGCTTTTATTTGACTCCTGGTATCTGGTATCTGGTTGATGCCACAGCTTCTCACCACCTCCCTCGAGGGAGCCAGCAACATCTCCCTTCCCTACGTGGTCCATTAGGCATAACATAAATTTATGTTGTCAACTGTACATAAATCAGCATAATATTCCATTTCTTTATTGATTTGTCTATTTATCATACTGTTTCTATAGTTATTGGTAATGTGCCAATAGTTGATAAAAGATTCACCATCTCAGATGCTCACAAGAACACTCATTTTTCTTTCTTATGCTGTTTTTTTTTTTCAGTGTGCTGAACTTTGAAAATATTGGTTGAACTTCTCTGGATTCAACAGAATAGGCTGGGTCCAGAATGTCTAGATGAGTTAGTATTTATTCTGTCATGCAGTTACCCCTGCCAGCAGTGGCTCCCAGCAACATATTCTTTCTAGGGCTAGAAAAGAAGCATAATAGGTCACACTTAGCCTGTGAGCACCCTTGATGCTGCTGCTTCCTTCCAGCTTGCTAAGTCATAAAGCCAAGTCAAATATCAGAAGGGCTAAATGTTTATTCCTGGGGCTCAAGTAGACCCCTCTGTAATGTACTTCAGCAATGAAATGAACACAAAATTCTATAATAAGAAACAAAGGAGTGGAAATAAGAAGTCAAACTACCATTGTCATGCCTGCCAACTATTTATTTATTTATTTATATGAGCAGTTACATTTTAATTTCTATTTCTGATTTTTTTCATTAATATAATCATTCCCCTTTTATCTTTACTTATTTTTTTTTGTCATAGGGTCTTACTATGTAACCAAGGCAGGCTGGATACTGACTATATAGTCCAGGATGGCCTCCTATCTCAGCCTCCCCAGCGTGATAGTCACTAGTATGTGCCTCTATACCAAGCCAGATCAAGATCTTCTTGTTTCTTTGCTTATAATACCCTTCTCTCTCCGACTTTAACCACCTTTGCCTGAGTCTGTAGCATATTTAGAGTGGGTTTTTATGTAAACCTTTTAGTTTTAAACCTCCACATTTGGGAGTGATCTACCCATTTGATGTATTCAGTAAATGCCAGTTCTCTTCTCAGCCTATGGGCCCAGAGGTTGTACCAACAGGGAAAAACCCAGCCCTGAGAGGTGACTTCTTAACAATGGGGGCCCTTCCAGGTACCTGACAGGCTCCTTCTAGCAGGGGTGGAGAGGGGACATGGCGTCTTGAGTAAACATGGACCAATGACCCTTGAATAGCCAAAATACCAACCACAAAGTCATGGGAAGTAACCCGGGCCCACTCTATTCTGGAGAAAACAAACCTCTCACGTTATTTGGTAATATAAAGGGTTTCAATGAGTGGATGTGAGCTTGGAGGAAGTCAGGCATGAAAGGTTATGTCAGGGACTCGGGCCACCTGATCGGCAATCCAAAGTCAAGAAGCCTTGGACTGTTGGCTGCCAAGATTCTTTCCTCACTCTCTTACTGGGTCTTTCTTATGTGTCCAGGCCTGGGTTATACTCTGGGGACAACAAGCGAACTGTGTGTAGTTCCTGCCCAAGGAAAAGTATCAACACTGGTGAAGTAGATCCAGATGTCAGCCTGCCAGTGAAGTGGCAGACCTGAGGACAGGCAGCTGAGGTGTGTCTGTTTCAGAGGGCTTTCTTGAGCATTGGCAGTTTGCGGGCACTCTGCCAGGTGAGCAGGCTACCACTGAGCTAGCTGGGATTTTCTTATTCCGCCTGGGTTGGAACTGTGCACAGGCAAGGTAAAGCCATTCCAGTGCTGACAGTTCTCAGTCCTTAGAACCTAGTGTAGCAAAAAGGGCAGGGGGAAGTGGTGTGGAACAATTCTATATTCTGTCAATTATGTTTTAAATAAATGCTGATTGGCCAGTAGTGAGGCAGGAAGTATAGGTGGGACGACCAGATAGGAAGTAGAGGTGGGGCAAGGAGAACAGAAGAATTCTGGGAAGGAGGAAGCCTATTCCTTCACAGTCCTGTCCAGATACTGAAGAAGCAGGATGTGACCTGCCTCACTAAAAAAGGTTCTGAGCCATGTGGCTAACATAGATAAGAATAATGGGTTAATAAAAGTTACAAGAGTTAATAAAAAAAACCCTGAGCTAATGGGCCAATCAGTTTATAACTTATGGAGACCTCTGTGTGATTATCTTTGGGACCTAAAGACTGTGGGAACTGGGCAGGACAGAACCACATGCCCTCATGTTACAACCCAGGAATTAACATATAGACTGGAACACTAGAGCCTTAAGACTTCAAACTTTGAAGGCTAAAAGCCTGTTACTATAGGCTCTAGAAGCAAGAGACTTTTGGATCTGGGCACTTAAACCGGAGACTTATCATTTTGGGCTTTAACCATCAAGAGCCCCAGAACTTACCAGATATTTTCAAGTTTTGGTTTCTAACAGCATTGAGTGTTGATGCTGTCTGTAAGTGGCAGTAGGCTGGACCTTCTCATATCATAGTGCAGATACAGGTCATTGACAGCAGCTAGTATTACAGTTCTCAGATCTAGAGTTTCTGAGACCCTTGGCCATGAAGGCTTGGTAGTTCATTGAAACCCTCCCAATGACCCTGGCCTACAGTTGCTCATCTTCAGTTCTTCACAGACTTAGTTGACTCCATTGTTTCTGCTCTCAGTTGTCTCTTCCCTAGCTCCTCTCTGGATTGCTTCAGTTGCCTCTTGTCATGATTGCTGCTACCATGGTCAATGTGGCAGTTGTTGCTTTCTTCATCCCTGTCCTCACCTTCTTCCTCTGTGTTATCAGCTCAGCACACTGTAGTGATTAATTGCAAACATGAAACGTAGGCAAGGAAAGAACACTGGATTGAAGCCTTTGTTGAAACTGTAGGGGAGGCAGTGAGGCAATGAACAAGAGTTCTTTCCAGTTGTCTCACAAATCTGACTTAACTAGTCAAATGTGTTTGTACCAACAACAGGTTTCATTTGCATAAGGGATTTGTAGCAATCAGCACAATCCCTCATACAGATAAGGGATTACATCTATTTCGATCACAATGGTACTTCATATAAATGAAAGACTGCATTTACGCTATCACAGGCCTTCTACTGGATTGCCATAGAAAGTGGTCCCCATCTGGTCTGAGAAGAATTGGTTATAGGCTATCAGCAAGACTTATCCAAAAATGGCCACTCTAAGCCATTTGAAACATTCATAGTTAAGACTATGCTTTGAGAGTCAGAATTGTGGTTCAGCAGCAGGCTGCTGTGTAACCTCCTCGAATATAGTGTTCAAAGATGATGCTGTTATCATGGAAGTTCTTCTGGTCTTATGTCTTATAATACTTGGCTTAAGAAACAACCACAGGGGGGGAAGGCCTTCCAATTAGGGAATCAGGTCATCCTGCTCCCCAATATCTCAGCTTATTTAAAAGGTGGTGTTTATAACCTTAACAGTATTTACAATGCTGTAGCAATGTTTACCTTCTGCCTTGTGCCCCAGGGAGAGGTTGGTCCTTCTATCTCAGGCAGACAGCATCAAGAGAACAAAACTCCTATTTGTTCATAAAAATTTAAAAGGTGCACGGTAGGCAGAGACAAAAGGATCTCAGAGAGTTCATAGCCAGCCTGGTCTACATAGTGAGCTCTAGTATGGCCAGGACTTTATATAGAGACCTTGTCTCAAAACAAACAAACAAACAAAAACAACAAATAAACAACAATAACAAAAGAGATATGGGGTAATCAATAATTAGGCAACCAAATAATCAATTTTACATGTGGACAAATAATAAGCTGCAATTAAATCAGAGAATTAAAATTTATCAACACAGCATTTATTCAAAATTGAGTGTTTAGGAAAGCCCATTATCTTGAGATATCTCAGCTGAAATCCAAATAGCAACCAACACTCAAAGATAGAGGGAATGCCTGAGCAGAGAGGAGAGCTGTGCCACTGGCCACATTCAGTCTGAATTTATTATCTACACGTATTTCTTCTCACGTGGCTGGAGAGATGGCTCACTGGCTGCAGTGGACATAGGTTTGGTTTCCGGTGCCCATGTGGCAGCTCATAATTGTGTGTATCTCCAGTTTCAAGTTATCTGATGCCCTCTTCTGGCTTCCTCAGGGCTAGTCATACACAGGTGCATATACATACATGCAGACAAAGTATTCATACCCCCCCCCTCAAAAAAAAAAACAAAGAAATTTTTAAAATCTATATTCCTTTCCTCTTATGCCTAGGTCTGAAATATGCCTGAAGGAGACATTTAATACATGTTCTGAATGAAGAGGAAAAAGGGAAGTGACTCAGGACCTCATCTAATTCTACAGTAAATGAAGCACAAATGAAGGGGTAGCTAATTGTCTCAGAGATACTACATGGCAGGTCTTCTCCTTTCCTAATGGAGATGGAGGAGTGCAAGGGGAGAGGGGAAGCGAAGGGGAGACTTGGAGGACAGGAGGGAGGGGAAACTGTGGTCGTTATGTAGAATTAATGGGAAAATGTTATTAATAAAATAAAATAATGACACAAAACAAAATTAAACAAAACAAAATAACAAATGGAGGGGCAAACTAGTCACAGCAACCGACAAGAGTTATGTGCTTCTGTACACATGCGTCCATATCTGTGTACACCTGATTGCAAGTGTTGGTCTAGCTCAACATTTATGAGTGCTTCTTGTGAAAAGAATATCTTGATGGAGCCCTGGTAAGAACCTATGGTTCTAGACAATCAGAGTGTCTAAGCTGTATGGGTGGAGATCAGAGAGGAAACACAGTGGTAGGAAGATTTTCGAATATTAAGGCAGAGAACTGCACAGCACTGAGCCAAGATACAACTAGCATCTGTGAACGGCTGCCCAGTTACAACATCCTTGAAGATAGTTGCTTATTAATCTGGGGGTTGAAGGACAGTCTAGCTTGGTCCCTGGTCACCAGGTTAATCACCCAGCATCGAGGAAGCAGCTACCAGAAGCTGGACTAGAGGGGCAATTTTCCTTCTACTAACACTTCGCCTTAAAGAAACACTAGTAAGTCTTTTCAGGATGAAAGTGGTGGGGTTCTGGGTTTGGAGTCTGGCCACTGAGCTTGAACCTTATAAGGTCCCAATAAGGGTCTAGTGGGGTCAGAAGGCCCGTTTAGGCCTGTATCTCTTTCAGATCTGGGCTATTCATGCTCTTTCTAGATCTATGTGACCGTTTAGGCCTGTATCTCTTTCAGATCTGGGATATCGGTGCTCTTTCTAGATCTATGTGACCGTGTGCAAACAAAAGGACAGTCATTTCGTAAGGAAAAAATAGAAGAGAAAGGAGAGGAGGTGTCACCACATGTACAATCCATGTGTAACCATGGATGTTCTCCAGGGTGATTAGAGGACTTTAAAAGATATCTACAAAATCTTGAAGGGGAAAGATGGAGAAGGATGTGATCATCAAAGGTGTTTTCAATCTGGTCACCTCTGGTGTGTGCTGGAGAAAGCAACAGTTATGGGAAGTGACAGATAAGGTTAAGCAAAGGCAGGTGCAATGGTTGTTTATCCAGGATCAAGGACTCTGGGACAAAGCAGAGGGACAGCCCTGAGAGGCCAGTGACTCAGAGTGGGACCTGGACGGCACAGATTGTTCTGCTGGGAGAAGCAACATGTAGAGCACCCTCCAGGCCTGTGTGAGTAGGCATTGTAGGATCCTGAGCTCTCCCTAGCAGAAATGGCCTTCTGGTGTGATCTCAAGCCAAGAGACCTTTCCTGTGTAAAGGGTCCACGATCCAAGGAAACGCCACTTTGAGTGTGTTCTGTGTCCAGCAAATGCCTGGCACAAAACAGAGACTTTGTACATGCTACTGACCAAATGTTGGGAAAATAACCACAAGTTTGAGAGTCGGTGAGGCCTAAGCATGTAAAGTAGGAGTTTTAATTTGAAATATAGGTCATATCTGACTGAGAAATAGACTTTGTGGGCCCTTATGTACCCTCTCCAAGTCTAGTTTGAGGCTTCCTGGGGAAGGGGAAAAAAGGGGACCTGGGACTCCTGTAAAATAGAAGAGGAGACAAGAGACAAAGGTCCGTGGTCTCTTGAGTGCTGGGCATTCTACATTCCTGCCAGAGCACATTAACATGGCTGGTTTATAATTTTCAGTCTATAGAGCCGCACAGTGAAGTGTGCCTCACTTCACCGCAGGGACTTTGGGCTTCTTGGGAGAACAAGCCCTTGCCCCTTTGCATCCTTCTTGACTCTAGCCCTGATCTGACTCTTACTCTTGTTGCAGTGGCCTCGTGTGTCACCTGCATTAAGTAGGTCAGAGCCAGACTGTGTGACATCCCTCACATCTGCCGTCCTCAGCCCAGGGGGTAGAGCGCCATAACTAAGAGCAAGTGCCATGAACCAAATCGTGGCAGAAATTGTCTTATTCACTTTTTTTCCCCCTCTAAGGACCATGCTCCTGCTTCCTTTGCTACCTGTCCTTCTCCTGTGTGTGGCAGGCATATCCTCTTCAAAGTCACAAACTTGTGAGGACGCCCTGAAGACTTGCTCTGTCGTAGCCTGTGGCAGAGATGGACCGAAAGGGGAGAAGGGAGAACCAGGTATGTAGCACTGTACTCTGGCTTTCTACACCTTTCCCTCCAGTGGGAAACTGTTCTGTGTCCCCACGAATGGAGTTCAGGGACCTGCGAGACTTGGCTTTCATTATGGCAGGTGTTCTTCCCTTCAGAATGATCTCTTTATGGTGTCACTGATTCCCAATCAAAAAGCTGTGCTTAACTAACAGCTTTCTTGAGTCTCACTTTCATACAGGGATCTGTGAGGAGGCATTGTCCCTCAGATATCCAGACTTGGGAGCTCTGTTTACTCTGAGTGACCAATAGCTAGCTCTTTGGCTCTTTCCTGGAGTTGATAGGAATCAAAGCTTGAACATGGGAAAGAGAAAGAGGAAGAGTCACCAGGTCATGCTGCCTTTATCTCCCAACAGGTCAAGGGCTCAGGGGCTTGCAGGGCCCTCCAGGAAAAATGGGGCCTCCAGGAAATGTAGGAGCTCCTGGAAGTTCAGGACCAAAAGGCCAAAAAGGGGATCCTGGAAACAATGCAGGTATGAGAATACTCCAGCATGACTAACTTGATGGGGGTCCTACGAGCAGAAGGCCATGTTGAGGTGCCTCTGGTCCTGATGCCTCCCCAGGAGAGGCTCAATACTGCTTTGTGACTGAGTGTCACTTGGGACTTATTGGGACCATGTACCCTCCAGGGCCATATCCCCATCAGTTCTCTTTAGGACATGGCATTAGCATTTCCTCAGATGAAAGTCCAGCGTGTTCTCTAGGCTATGTGGGAGGAAATGTGCCCCGCCCCCTGTCTACTGTCGGAAGAGTTGCATGAAAAAGGTCTGTCTCATCAGACTCCCCAGTAATGAGGAATAGAATAGCAGAATAACTGTTCTGCGTGAAACAAAGAAAATTTGGTACAAACAGAAAGAAGACTGGCAGCCCTCCTGTTAATATCTGTCCATCACTCTGCCAAAGGAATTGAACATATTAAAGAGTTTACCTGGAAGGTGGGGAGATGCCACAATTGGTAAAATGATATACAAGCATGAGGACCTAAACTCAACCCCTGGAGCCCATATGGAAAACAAAAGAGGGAAAATCTCCCTCATTCTGGCTCACATTTGTAATCCCAGCTCTGGGGAGGCAGAGACAGGCGCATCCCTGGGGCTCGCCAACCAGCTAGTCTGGCCTACTCTGCAAACTCTAGACCAACTAGAGAGCCTGTCTCTAACAAAGATGGCTCCTGAGGAATGACACCCTAGGTTGATCTCTGACCTTTACACATAGACACATACATAGCAACACACACATGAACACATACATACAAACAGCAGAGAGAGAATTTACCGGCGATAAGAAATAAAAAAGAACTGCAAAGAAAAATCAGAGGCTAATGAGTATTTTTTTTAGAAATTAGTATAATATTGCAATATTAAGCACTCCGTTTAAACAGAAAATAGGAGAGCTCCATTAACAGGTCATTAGGGTAATTAACCTACACCTGGGAAAGCAGCAATTATTTTTTCCCCATTTGCTTCATTAGCAGTCATATTTTTCTAAAATAATCTTACTTTTTAGTTAGCCTTAGCATGCGTTTGTATAAAAACACTGATGTATGTACATATTCATGTGTGTGCAAATAGGTATGTGAGGGGTATACATGTATGTGGGTGGAATCCAGAGGTCAAACTCAGGTATTGTTCTTAAGATAGAATCCATCATGTTTTTTTGAGGCAAGGTCTCTCACAGGCCTGAAACTTACCAAGTAGGCTAGACTAGCTGGTCAGCGAGCCACGGAGATCCACCTGTTTGTGACAGTCTGTCACTGGGATTCCATGCCTAGCTTTTATAAAGGTTCTGGGAATGAAACAGGTCCTTGTATTTTCGTGGTAATCACTTTGCCTACTGAGCTTTCGTCCAGGTTATGAGCTCTTTATCCCCTCCCCCCCGCCCCCATGTCTGAGTCTCAGGTTAAAGTTTTGTCACTAAGTTCCCTCTTCCTGATGCTCTTGTAGAGGTTGAGGCAAAGGTGCGGCAGTTGGAGGCAGAGATAAGGACCTTGAAATCAGAACTGGAGCACACCAAGAAGTGTAAGTTTTCCCTCAATCCCCAGGGTGTTTTTCCTACAGAGGGATCTAAGGGAGGGGTGAGTGACAGATAGGTAACCCTTCTGAACGTTTACTTTACCACAGTTCTGTGAAGGCTTGCTGCTTTCTTGTAATATATTTCCTTGTAATATTTCATTCAGTTTCCTCACCATTATATTATACTTGCCTTGGGACTGGGAGGTTGCTCAGTGGAGAAAAGCACATGCCACATAAGTCTGATGATTTGAATCTAGTCCCCAGAACCTAGAGCGGGACAAGAGAATCAACTCCCAAAGGTTGTCCTCTGACCTTCACACAAACACTGTGGTCTGCACACACACACACACACAAACACACACACACACACACACACACACACACACACACACAGAGAGAGAGAGAGAGAGAGAGAGAGAGAGAGAGAGAGAGAGNCACACACACACACACACACACACAGAGAGAGAGAGAGAGAGAGAGAGAGAGAGAGAGAGAGAGAGAGAGAGAGAGATGAAGGGTGAGAAAACACACACACAAAGACACATAATTTTTAAAAGTTATTATACTTCAGGAAGTATAATAATTCACTCTATATGATACAGCTTGCAGACAGCAGCAAGAAAGGGTTGGGTGGAAGTCTCTTTTTTCCATCTTTGCAGTTTGCTCCTCACTTACTGTTCTTACCTGACAATTGGTTCCTTTCTTTTATTCTGGTGCCCAAATGGGGTGGTGGAATCCACATGTGCCACCCTGTGCTCACCTGTGCTGCTGTCTGGCTCTGACTGACATTGATGTCAATAGTGGGCTATCCCAGGAGGGTCAGGCTGTTTTCAGAAGGCTGTGGACACCTTCCTTGGCTTGGTAGTTGTTCCTGGTCATACCCTCTTCCTAGGTTATGGCTTAGTGTCAGACCTGAGACTCGAATTCCCAGGGGACGTTTTCAAAAGGTCCTGACTGGACTCTACACTGAGTAAAGCCTCATTTGCTCTGATTTCAGTGCACGCCTTCTCAATGGGCAAGAAGTCTGGGAAGAAGTTCTTCGTGACCAACTATGAAACTATGCCCTTTTCCAAAGTGAAGGCTCTGTGCGCCGGGCTCCGAGGCACTGTGGCTATTCCCAGGAACGCTGAGGAGAACAAGGCCATCCATGAAGTGGCCAAAGGCAACGCCTTCATAGGCATCACAGACGAGGTGACTGAAGGTCAATTCATGTACGTGACAGGGGGAAGGCTCACCTACAGCAACTGGAAAAAGAACGAGCCCAATGACCATGGCTCTGGGGAGGACTGTGTCATCATTGTAGACGATGGGGTCTGGAATGACATTTCCTGTCATTCTTCTTTCATTGCTGTCTGCGAGTTCCCAGCCTGAGGAAGCTGGTGCCTCCATCTTCTCTTTGTCTCCTCTCTGGACTCTCAGTTGCTTCCAAAGAAAATTCAGTACTGGTTTCTCAAGCTTCGTGTTAGGGGATTCATTTCAGGGGAGTGGATGTATTTGATTGTGGCCTGCGGATATAAGAAGCTGACCACGAGGCACCAGGATCCAGACAAGCAGAGAGTGAGTCACATCTCTTTTGGTAGGGGCACAGTGAGTCTCTTATTTTCACATTGAAGGACCAAAGGTGGACAATACCTGTGTCAGAGTGGCAGCTGATCTCAGCTGTCAGAACACCCAATTCCTTCTCTTCATGAATTGGTGCCAAGTGGTGCCAAACATGCCTGTTCGAAGCCACCCCCTGTCTATAAGGTGTTCTTGCATCTTGAGTTTCTTCACAGGGAGCTATATTTGGTGGAGGGTGGAAGAGAGTTAACGCTTTTGGATTCTTACTACACCCCCAGGTATATGCTAGCTAGGTGCTTTCTGTGACAGGATTGTTGCTTTTAGGGTTCATGGACTGCTCCAGGCAAGCTTTGTTTACACGACCATAACAGAGGGCAATATTCTACATGAGTAACCGATAGCAGTCCTGAGAACCCCACGTCAAGTGGCTGCATCCTCTCTTTACTCACTGCTCCCAGAGAGTGAACTGCAGCATCACTGTATGGGACTGGTTTGATACTGTGTGCCAGCAATGTGGAAGGAGGCATGGCCATTCAAGTGGCAGCCATGTCATCAATGTTGGTCCCCACTGCCCAGCATCCCTTCTCTTCACTGCTCATTAGGGATCAGTAAGCCCACTGTCAGTGCACAGGGAGGAAAAACCCTATAGTTAGCTCCTTGTCCTAAGCACCAAATGATGCCACATCAGCAGTCAGCCGCTGGACCTCCTTCTTGAGCAGTCCAAGGTTTTCAAGCTATTCAACGTGACCACGGAACTTTTGCTTTCCAGCTGTCTAAGGGTAGGTGGAACTGAGATTCAGTAGCAAAGTGCAGTGAGCCAGAAGAAGGTGGGTGCTGGCTCTTGCTGCTTGCCATTCACAAATGCGATCAGAAACCATTTCACGAACGAGCCAAGAGTCGTTCTCACTTAGTGAGAAGCTTTTGCTCACATCCATTTCTATTTTATTTTTCTTGGTCTCTGAATTACCAGGAAAAGCACTCCATAGTCATTAAGTGCTCAGTGATTGATCGATGTTTGTTCAAAGGAACAGCAAACATTCCCAAACGGATGGATAAGTTGACTGCTGGGCGGTCAATGTCAGGATGGGCTCCTTTTCAGCAGCTGTGGGAACTTGGTTGGGACCTACAGAAGGCACCGGGCCAAGCAGGTGCCAGGACCATGTGCCTTGGTTTTTATCACACCTAAACTGTCAAATTCCTGAAATTCCTTCAGACTATAAGCCCTGATGATGTAGAACAGAACAGATGTCTAATCACAGGCACTGGGGACTGCTTAAGATTCAGAAGCACCTAATGTGGCAGAATATGCTAGAATCACAAGTGCATATTATCTAGGAAATGGGAACTTGGGGTTTGAATTATGTCTGTGAGTCAGTTTCCTTCCACAGAAATGCAGACACAGCCATTGGCGGCATGGTTTGGTTTGCTTCCCATGACAAAGGAGAAACAGGCACTAAAAGATTGGGATACTCCAGGTCCAGGTTCCAGTCCACATTTGGCTTGATAGAACGGAAAGAGCCTGCTCAGTAGGACAGTCTTTCTCTGGTCTTTCTAATATTTGCTGCTGACACTTCTAGCTGTGTTCCAGCCAGAGGTGGGGACATAAAGTTTCAGCTTACGCCAGATAACCTCCTTCCTGACTGGGTCCAAGAAAACTCCTTTCTCTGTGGCTGTCAGAGGTCAACCAGCACCAGGGCCCACGCGTTGGGCTACAGATCAACTTGCTGAGCCTCTGACCTGTTTGCTCACTATTGGGTAAACAATCTGTCCTTTCCTAATTGCCAGGAATTGGGGTTCCCCCCCACACCATTAGCCAGGAAAGGATCAGCTGTCATCTGCGGCCCAGGCTACAGATGCTGGGAAGTGGGTTTTATCAAGAGATGTTACCCTGGTAACCCCGAGTGGCTGGTGGATTGCTGGGAAAATGAGAGTTACATCTGACAAGAGATCAATTGGGAAGCAATGACCTGTGTAGGGCAAAAGTCCATAAGCCAGAACCAGTGTGGTCCTGGCAGATACAGTCACTGCATTGAAAAGAAATGGAATTCAGGTAGACATTTACAAACTAAGCACCAACGTTGGGCTAAGTTAGCCACTGGCAGCATGTGGCTTTGCCTGTCTTGTCCTGGTGGCCCACAAGTTTGTGCACTTCATGTGACTCTTCAGAGCAGTGACTGGCAGAATTGACTAGAACCATTACATTGTCTGAGGACTCTGGCCCTCTGTTGGGCCCTGTTAAAAATCTTAAAAGTCTTTTGGCTTGGTGAACTTCCCTAATGTTCTAGACGTTTGGCAAAGTTTGGAAATGACTGATCCAAGAAAAAACGGTCACCCTGGTAGCTTGTGTACACCTCTCACCCATGCCAGGAGGCAGAATTTCTTCATTCTTTGGAGGTCCCTCATAATGTAAAAAGGTCCTGTTTTATTTATAGAATCTGTCCAGCAACAGTTTTTCCCAACCCACCCCAGCCTACAACCAGCGCAGCTCCAAACCCATCTTGACACACCCCTAGCTCTTACTACCTCTGTGACTTTACAGAATAGGGCTAAGATCGGAAGAGCTTTGCTGAGCTGTCAGAACGTGGATGGTGCTGGGTTCATGAGGCTCCAGTAAGCACTTGTGTGACCAGGTTCAGGCTGTTATACATATTTATGGACATATGGAATTATATGTCATGTGTCTGTATGACAATCAACAGACCCAAAACCTTGAACTCCTTACACCAACGAATTGTTGCCAGAATTCATTCCAGCCCTCTTCCATCCGTGTCCAGGCCTCTCCCTGCATCCCCTTCTTTTTGGAATGTTCCAAAGGCTCTGGGTGAAGAGTATTCATGTTGGTCTTGTACAAACTACCTACAAATGACCATGTGTGTCTAGAAAGCCATGGAATCAGAAGTGACTGTCTAGTAGACACTCACTTCTAGTAGTAGAATCTTGTGTGAATCTTAAATCTTGCCAGTATTGCCTTCATTCAATTCATCTGGCCAGTGATGCTGAGGTGGCCCCAACTCCAGCCTTAAGGTCTTTTCCATTTTTGTATTTTCCTCTCAACAACTGTAGATATTTGGTGTCAGTTTGGCCATTTATTTGGTTTAAGTTACAACAGTGTGACAATGTCATTAGAAGTAAGGATGGGTTCAAACTCTGACTACAGTGTTGCAGCTGTGTGACCCTTTTTAGGTCACGTACAGTCTCTGTGCTTTTGTGCTCTTTTTGGTGAAGTTGGAATAACACTTGTGCATAATTCATAAGATTGTCACCAGGGACAGATAAGCTGTTGTTAGTGAAGCAATTACGACAACATTTGCTTGCAAGTAATGCAAGACTAGCAGTGGCCCTGCCTCGGTGAGCTTTCCAAAGCTACACCGCTCACCTCAGCAGACTAGTATGTAGAAAAAGGTGGGAGCCACTTACAAGTTCAATTGATGGCTGACAAATGGATTCATGAATCAACAGATAAGTGAATTAATGAATTCACCCCCAAGAGTGAGATCCAATTAATCTTCAGAGATTAACTTGGGGCCAGTCTGGATTCCAGAAAAGCAGTAAAGTAAGCTCATTTGGGAAGATGGCTATGGGCATAGATTACATTCCCGGGTAGCCTAGAATTCCCTAGCCTAGTCACCAGTGACTTCGTGCTGCCCTCTGCTGGTTGTCTTGTAGGCAGGGCGAGCACACTCAGTCTCACAAGCCGATGGTGGGTGGGTTGTGGGAGTGGGGTCTCAGGAGAGCCTTAGCTCCCTCCCGTTGCTTCTTGCTTGCAACTTGGGGGTGGTCCTGTTGCTTTGTCTCTGCTTTCCTGGTTGCTGCACCCACTTAGATCGCGTGTCTACCTTTCAGGCCACAGGCAGACATCTATAGATGTCTCGTATAGATAGATGACCATATATCCTCAGGGTGCCAAGGCTCTGCAAGAATACCCCATTCCTTCCATTAGTGCCTGCTCCATTTCAAATTTTTAGAGAAGGATGCCTATGCCACCTTCACTCTCTTTCCTGCCCACATATTTACATGCTGGTGACTTCATATTTCCTCAAGACAAGATGTCATTGCTGCGGTGTGGTTTTCTGGATTGAGTGGAGTGCCTTTTTCCCTTGTTCCGCAACAGCAGGGAAAAACTGTGGACTTTTCTTTGGAACAGGTTCTTTCTGGGGAATCAACAAATCATTTACTTGTGACATTTGCAGAGACTCCAAACAATCTCAACAGTGAGGGGATGTTCCACCAGGGACCTGTAACTAAGGACTCTCTACACAGCCTGTGGGGACCCATAGGCAGAGGGCCAGTGCACAGGGGACGGTGGTTAGATCTTCCATACCTCACAAGAAAAGAGTCTTGTTGTGGCACCAGCTGAAGCTAGGGACTTCAGCATTGTCCTTGCTTTTGGTCCTGTAGCCCAACATGAGGAAGCCCTAAGATTCTTTCAGAGGTTCTAGACAGTGTCTTTACTAGTCTCACCAATGAAATTCAAGGCCATTTCTCTTGATAAATGTCTCCCTGACTGCTGAGTGGTGTCCTCTTAAACCAAGGATGGTGGACATCAGCACATCTATCCCATTCCTAACCCTTGTCAATGACAGACACAGTAACTAGCCACTTCCTACACTGCCTGGCTGAGACCCTGGAAGTCATTTAATGCTGTAATAATTATGAAGAAGCCCAGGTAGCCATGAAGAAAAGATCTCATGGTCCAGTTCCACCCAGTGCCCACGAAATGCCCAGCTGTTCCCGTAAGAATCTATGGCTATAATCATCAAAAATGTATTGCCAGAATTAAATGCCAAACTGTGCAGAAATCACTGTGCCCACCCTGCCAATCCATGTCACCTATGCTGACAGACACTATGAGGTTTTTTGGTCACCCTCTTGCATGTGCCTCTTCTCACTGACA